AAACCCTAAACCCTAAACCCTAAACCCTAGGGCTTTCGCCGCCACAGCGAACGTCTATGCCGTAAAGGCCACCTGCCTTGGGGCCCTCCACAGCCCAGCTAGCCATGGCTAGCTGGCAAGCTTAACTGCTCCGCTCTAGAGACGCCCCAGCTAGCCATGGCTAGCTGGCAGGCTTTGCTGTTTGAGAGTTGGGGGACGCGAGCTGACCTCGTAGGTAGCTAGCTAGCTAGCTAGCTGACTAGCTAGCTAGCCATGCAGGTAGGTAGCTAGCTAGCTAGCTACCTACCTACCTACCTACCTAGTCCGCTAGCTAGCCACTGACCTAGCTAGATACTTATCTAGCTAGCCAGATAGCTAGCTAGCTATATAGATACGTAGCTACGTGGCTAGCTAGCTGGCTGGCTAGCCACTGAGCTAGCTAGCTGGGGCAGGCTTACTTCCAGCTTGAGAATTTCCTGAGGCGTGAGGTGGTTCCATCCTGATCAAACACCCAGAAAAGAGGCGCCGGACTGCAACACTGCCCCAGCTAGCTGAGCAGCTAGCCAGCTAGCTAGCTAGCTAGCTAGCTGCCATGGCTCAGCTATAAATCTAACTGGACAGTTAGCAAGCCAGCTAGCTCGCTGCTGTGGCTCAGCTAGCAAGCTATCCAGCTGCTGTGGCTGAGCTAGCCAGCCGGCTAGCTAGCTAGCTGCTGCGGCGCAGCTAGCCGGGCAGCAGCAGCAGCAGCACTCACCCTCGGGAAAGAAAGCAGCATAAGGGGGATAACCCTCGGGCGGGGCCATTCTGTAGTCATAAAGCGAAACTCGAATTGCCATCGGCGGCGGCAGCTGTTTCAGCGCCTCCTGCAAACACCGACAGCGAGACCCCCGCAGCTAGCTAGCTAGCTCCCTAGCTAGCTGCCCAGTTAGCTAGCTGGCTAGCTAGCTGCCCAGCTAGCTGTCCAGCTAGCTAGCTGGCTAGCTAGCTGGCTAGCTAGCTGCCCAGCTAGCTAGCTGGCTAGCTAGCTGTCTAGCTACCCTCCCAGCCAGATAGCTCGCTGGCTAACTGGGCAGCTAGGTAGCAAGCTAGCTACCTAGGTGCCCCGTTAGCTAGGTGGCTAGCTAGCTGGCTAGCTAGCTTGCAACCTAGCTGGCCAGCCTTCTCGCCAGCTGTCTGGCTAGCTGTCTGACAAGCTAGCTGGCCAGCTGTCTGTCTAGCTAGCTGGCTAGCTAGCTAGCTAGCTAAGTGGTCAGCTAGCTAGCTACATAGCTAGCTGGCTGAAGCTGCTGCTGGGCAGCTCACCCCCTGGGGCCCCAGCAGCTGCAGCACTGCGGGCTCTCTGGCGCTGATTTGCTGAATTAAAGGCTGCCAGAAAGAAGGGTACAGCTGCAGGGGCCCCTCAGGGGAAAGAGGGGGGCCCCTGGTTTGGAAGCAGCCCTCCGCAGCAGCGGCGGAGGCCTGCAGCGGGGCCTGCTGCTGCTGCTGCTGCTGCAGTTGCTGCTGCTGCAGCAGCGGCTTCCCAGCAACCACCCCCTTCAGCGCGGCCTTCAGCCGCAGCGGCACAAACCACAGCCGCCAGTCCAGGCGGGGGAAATGGCCGGAAAGCAGCCACGGCGGCGGGCTGTTCACATCGCCTGAAACGCAGCAGCAGCAGCAGCAGCAGCAGGAATGGCAGCAGCATCAATAGCAGCAGTGGGACCAGCAGTAACGGCAGCTGCAGCAGATGCAACAGTCACAAGAGCAGTGGCACGGCAAAATGCAGCCGCAAGAAGAATAATAGCGGCAACACAACGGCTTCAGCAGCAGCAGCAACAGGAGCCGGAGCAGCAACAGCAGAAGACAGGCTTGCTGCTGCGTGCCTGGCTTATACGGCAGCGACACTTCGAGCCAAACGGGTTTTTCCTCCGTTGTCTGGTGCAGCTCTTCAAGGACCAGCTCCAGGCGACCAGTGGTCACCACGGCGAACAGGCCTGCGCAGCAGCAGCAGCAGCAGCAGCAGAGCGGACTGGCAACTGCAGCTTGGAACGGTCAAGTAGACTGCAGCCAACCGCTGTACGTACACCCGAGAGAGCTGCCCGTACAGCCCAGCAACAGCCCGCATGCAAGCCCGTTTTTTCTTTTTCTTTTTGCTGCGTTTGCTGCTGTTGCTGCTGTTGCTGCTGTTGCTGCTCTTGCTGCTCTTGCTGCGTTTGCTGCTTCTCACCGTAGCCGTTGCAGATACAGAGAAGAGACATTTCCTTACAAAGTGCCAGAACCCAAGCGGGCGCAGACACCCCCGGCCGCATCCAAATCCTGCCACAGCAGCAGCAGCAGCAGCAGCAGTAGCAGCAGCAGCTCCAGGTGCAGGAACAGGCCCTCATCTGGGCAGAGAGCAGCAGCAGCAGTAGCAGCGAAATCTGCTACAGCAATATGCCATGTACACAGCCGGCAGCTGCATCGGCCGCCAGCAACGGGAGCCGACGGCAGCCACGGCGGCACCTGTTAGGAGCAGCAGCTGCAGCAGCAGCGCCTGCAGCTCCCACTAGCAGCAGCACAAGCAGCGGCAGCGGCAGCAACAGCAACAGCAGCAGCAGCACTATGCTCACTTGCAGAGGTGGTTCAGAGACCCTGCGGTGTAGAGCTGCATACACCAACAGCCAAAAACTGACACACACGCACCTCAACTGCTGCTGCTGCTGCTGCCGTTGCTGCTGCTGCTGCTGCTGCCACTGCTGCTGGTTCTGCCGCTGCTGCCGCTGCTGCCGCTGCTGCTGCTGCTCCTGACCAGGACGTAGGCCCCCACAATGGTGCCGAGGATGACCCGGCCGGACATGAGGGCGCAGCGCTCTAGGAAAGTCTGGAGGCAGCAGCAGCAGCAAAATGGGACAAATGAAAATATAAATTAGAAATTACCAAAGCAGAACAATGAAAATAATAATATCAATTTACGGTAACAAACGTTAAGACACACGAACAGGAGAGGAGCGGGTAACTCCAGCAACAGCAAGGGCATCAAGCAGCAGCACCAAAATAGCAGCAGAGGCAGCAGCAGCAGCGAGAGCAGCAGCGAACGAACCCGCACAGCCACTGCTTGCTTCTCTTATATTTCGGCTGCCAAAAATACCAGCAGCCGCAGCAGCAGCAGCAAAGATAACAGCGGCGCCGCAGCCGCAGCACGAACAGCAGCAGCAGCAGTAGCAGCAGCAGCAGCAGCAGCAGGCTCACCCTGGAGGGCGCGAGAGGCGCAGCAACGCCCAGCAGTCTGTCGTCCAGAAGCGCCAAACAAAGAGCAGCAGTCATGTGCGGCAAAAATCCCAAATTGCCGCTCAAAAGCACTGACAAAGCCAGCCCTGAGTGCTTCCGCAGCACAAACCCCACACGCCTCAGCAGCAGCAGCAGCAGCAGCAGCAGTGCAGAAGCAGCAGCAGCAGTGCAGAGTCAGAAGCAGCAGCAGTGCAGAAGCAGCAGTGCAGGAGCAGCAGCGCAGGAGCAGCAGCATCAGTGCAGAAGCAGCAGCAACAGTGAAGGAGGAGCAGCAGCAGTGAAGGAGCAGCAGCAGCAGTGCAGGAGCGGCAACGCAGGAGCAGCAGCAGCAGCAACAGCAGCAGCACCCGCAGCAGCAGCAAGGTCGCTCTGAATGGCCCTACCAAAGATGGCGACAGCAGCTGCAACGCGCAGCGGGGGAGTGGCAAAGATGCAGCAGGACATTACGCCCTGCAGCGGCAGCAGCAGCGCAGCAGCAGCAGATGTAGCAGTAGCAGCAGAGGACAGCCAGCACCCCAGCATGAAACGGAATCGCAGCAGCAGCAAGAGACAAGCAGCAGCAGCAGATTAACCCCAAACCCTAAACCCTAAACCCTAAACCCTAAACCCTACGGAGACGCAAAGGCCAAAAGCTAACCTCAATAAAGAGGACGACAGCTGATTGAAGCTTTTTGCCCTTCGACCAGTAGAAGAACCCTGCAAGAAAACCCCAAAAGTTGAACCCTAAACCCTAAACCCTAAACACTACATGTCACTCCCAGACACTAGACTCGGGCCGCTAAACCCTCGCAGCACTTGAAACAAATAGGCTGCTGCAGCAGCAACTTCCGTTGCCGTGCCTGCTGCTGCTGTTGCTGCTGTGTTCCCCCTGCTGCTGCTGCTGCTGCTGCTGCCGCTGCTGCTGCTGCTGCTGCTTACAAGAACCTGGGCAGGGGAGCGGCTGCGTCCAGTAGTGAAAGGAAAGAGCCGTCAGGTCCCTCCAGTGCGGGGCTGCTGCTGCTGCAGCCGCAGTACAGCAGCAGCAGCAACAGCAGCAGATAGGGCAACTTTAATGCCAAATTGATCGCGAGGAACGAAGCTGCAGAGCTTTCGAGTGCAGCAAAAGAGAAATGAAAATAAAAGAGACACAAATATAGAAATAAATGTGAAAGCGAAAAGTAGAGGGATAAATGCAAAAACATGCAGAGAAAAGAGATCAAAAGAAAGAAAAAAGAACATAACAGAAGATAAAACAAATAAAAACAAATAAAATGCTAGAATAAATGAGATAAATAAAACAGGTAGCAAAAAAGAAACAAAGGAAACGCACTGCATTTGGATGCAGCAGAGCAGAACAGCAACTTGAACAGCAGCAGCCGCAGCAGCAGCAGCACTGCAGCAGCAGCGAATGGGCAGCCCAGAGACAATGCGGGGGGACCGAAGCAGCAAATGAAACCCGCCTCCAGCAGCAAGACATCCCTTCACGCAGCACACGAACCCTAAACCCTAAACCCTAAACCCTAAACCCTAAAGCTTAAACCCCATACATTATCATTACTACATCCTTAATATATGAAAAAACAAAACAGGAAGTATATTTCATGCATTATCTACTCCGATTATATTCATTTCTTATTAGTTTTTTGTATTTCTTCATGTGCTTTATTATATTTTAAAATATTTAATAAGCTGTTCCCAATTTATATATCAAATAATATACTATTTATAATGTCTGATAACATTTCGCAAACAAAATGCCTTTGATGAAAAATATGTTATTGATGTTTTCTATTAAATCACATACTGTTTATAAAATGTCTTTAATTAATCATTGATTATTTATAAAATGTCTTTAATTAAAAATATATTGCTTATAAAATATTACAGCAACATTTTTAAAATGCACTCTACTAATAGTCTTTTATTATAAAAATGGATTATAAATAATTTATTATAAAATGAATTTTATTTGGCAAATAAAATGAACTTCACTTGACGGACAGTCTATAAAAAGACATTTAGAAACTCTTTTTTATAAAATATCTTTCTGAAGAATTCCATATTATTGTTTTGAAAGTATAAAACGGAATAAATATATTTCATAAATGACTTATAAAAATAATAAAATGGAATTATCTAAAAGATATTTTGTAAAAAGAATTTTTAAAAACAATAAAATGGAACCATAAAAAGGTTTTTTTGAAATTAGAAAAATGATAAAAATAGAAATATATTTCATACGAATTTCTTCAAAAGTATAAAATGGAATAAATTAGAAATACTTTTCATAAAGGACTGAATAAAAAGATAAAATGAAATTATTAAAAAAGATATTTCATAAAGGACTTTTACAAAATAAAAAAATGTAATTATTAAAAAGATACTTGATAGTAATAAAATGGAATTATACAAAGGACTTTTTTGAAATTAAAAAATGAACAAATTAGAAATATATTTCATAAAGGACTTTTACAAAAACATATTTAAAAATATATTTCACAAAGGATTTGTAAAAATAATAAATGGAATAATAAAAAGGACTTTTTGAATTAAAAACAAATTTGTAAAAAGAAAAGTTTGCCGGACCACTGGAAAGCGAGAAACTCTTTTGCAAAATATCGAAAAGAAAGATAAAGAAAGAACTGCAGCAAAAGTGCCGCTGACTGCCACAAAGCTTTGCTGCTGCTGGGCGGCAGCAGCAGCGACAGCAGCAAGTTGCAGCAGCTGCAGCAGCAGCCCAGCCACGCCACTTGGCTCAGCTGCAGCACAAAAGCAATTTAATTAATCAAGCAATTTAATTAATTATTTAATTAGTCAAAATTTTAAAACAATTCAAGTAGTTCAAGAGTTTAATTGATTAAAGAATTTAATTAATTAGTTAATTTAAAAACATGGAAAGAAGCTGCAAATGTAGACGAAAGTGATACAAAAAGGAAATTAAAAAGCAACTAAAAAGAAAGTAAAAAAAAAGAAATTAAAAGAATCGAAAAGGAAAATAAAAAGAAAAAAAGAAAAAGAATAAAAACGATGAAAGAAACCTGGGGAGATAAAACGGTACTGAAAAGAGTTTAAAAGGAACAAAAAATAAACAAAAACAAACAAAAGGGAGATAAAAGCGAAACAAAAGGACAAAGAAGAATTTAAAAAACAAAAAATAATCAAAAAAGGGACAAAAAAGAAAAAATAAATGAGGACAAAGAGGAAAAACGTGGGTGAAAGAGAAGACAAAAATCCAACAATGGAGGAACAAAAAAGGTAAGAAAAAGAGACAGAAAAAGACAAACTGAGCAAAAAGAGAGCTAAAAAAGAGCCAAAAAAGGGAGAAAAAAGATCCAAAAAAGGGAGAAAAAGAAACAAAAAAGGAGCAAAGAAGAAACAAAATGAAAAAGGAGAAAAAAAGAAACAAAAGGGAATTAAAAAGAATCAAAAAAGAATCAAAAAGAATCAGAAAAGAATTTAAAAGAAGCAAAAATAAAAGTGCTGCTAACCTTGAAGCTGCTGCTCTTGCTGCAGATCTCCTTGGCCAGCCAACTGACACCCCACAAAACAAAACTGACGGGCACTGAAGCTGGCAGCTGCTGCAGCAGCAGCAGCTGCTGCAGCTGCTGCTCCAGCGGCAGCAGCCCCACACGAGGCCCCAGCAAGCCGTCCGCCTGCCCGCATTCCAGCAGCAACAGCAGCAGCAGCAGCAGCGGGGATGTCCCAGAGTGTTTAACAGCAGCAGCAGCAGCAGCAGCGGTGTCTCGCCATGTTTAACAGCAGCAGCAGCAGCAGAGATGCCTCGCCATGTTCAACAGCAGCAGCAGCAGCAACAGCGCAGAAGGGAAACAAGACAGCTCCAGTACCAGCAGCAGCAACGCATTCACCAGGAACAGCAGCAGCAGCAGCACACTCAGCAGCAGTAGTACATTCAGCAGCAGCAGCAGCAAACCTGGAGGGCCAAAGAGCGGAATGCGAGTACGTACACCCCGTTGACTGCCAGCAGCACCAACTGCAGCGTGGCGAAGTGGGGGGGCCCCCGCTGCAGCAGCAAGTAGCTGCTGCATGCATGCAGCAGCAGCAGCAGATAGGAGATGCACAGACACATCCATGACGGCAGCCAGTATCCGCTGCTGCTGCTGCTGCCGCTGCTGCTGCTGCTGCCGCTGCTGCTGCTGCTGCTGCTGCTATTTGTTGGCCTCCTGCTGCTGCTGCTGACCGAGACAGGCTCAGAGGCCTCCCCCTGCTGGGGAGCAGCACTGCCTCGGCGCCGCATCCCGTGACCTGCTGTCAGCTGCTGTTGCTGTTGCTGCTGCTGCTGCTGTTGCTGCCGCTGCTGCTGCTGTGGCTTGTTCAGGCAGGGTGTATGGACACCCCAGGTGCCTCCAGTCCGCGCGCCAGTGCTGAGCCCAGGGGCCCCACAGGACGCATTTCCGGGAGAGTGCCTCCGAGCTGCTGCTACCTCAGCGCCGCCACAGCAGCAGCAGCAGCAGCAGCAGCAGCAGCGGCGGCGCTGCGCGAGTAGCCGGTGGTCCTTTCGCCTGCGCACACGAGGCGGCTGCTGCTGCTGTTGCCTTGAGAAGAGTTGCTGAGCGTTCTTATTTTAATAGGGCAAATTAACGGGCAAAGACGTAGGACTGCATGCAGCAGCAGCTGCAGCTGAGGCAGCAGCAGCAGCAGCTGAAGCAGCAGCAGCAGGAAAAGCAGCAACGGCGACGTGGTGGGGCCCCAGGGTCGGTGGCGAACCACCTCCACGGAAGCGCCAGTTGCTCTCTTTCCCTTTTTGTCTTCTGGTGAATTGTGAATTATTCGCCATTTAAAATGCAACTCCCGTTAGTGGCAGCAGCAGCAGGAGCTGCAGCAGCAGCTGCAGCGCCAAGACAGGAGGTCACCTTCAGCAGCGAAGCTCACAGCGCTAGTCGATTGATTCTTAACCTAACAGCAACCAAGTAAAATTGATTAAATATTTGTAATTAATATGACAGAGACGCATTCAAGTTTCCGTGCTGCTCTCCTATAGCAGCAGCAGCAGCCGCGGCAGCAGCAGCAGCAACAGCAAGAATACGCTGTCTTGGTTCATCACAGCCTCAAATCGCCTCTCTGCAGCAGTTTGTCTGCATTTAGTTGCGAAATGAAGAATATTTGTGCTTTATTAATATTCCCTGTTTTATTAATGAGAAAAAAAGCCATTTTATTATATGAGCCTGTTCAAGTTCCTCCTGGGCTGTTTGGATCCGCCACTTCGTTTCATTATGCTGCTGCTGCTCTGCTGCAGTCATTTGCGGCTAGCCGCTGCAGCTAACTAACCAGCAGCATGCTTCGGGAAGCCTTCCCAGCTAGCCAGCTGCTTCTTCAGCTGCTGCCGTAGCTGCTGTAGCTGCTGCTGGAGCTGCTGCCGCAGCTAGCTACATGCAGCATGAGTATTTGTGGGGCCGTTCTTCAGCTCAATTGCCTTGTAAGGCTTGAGCCACAGTGCCCGTTGCTTCTTCCACTTAGTGCTGCTGCTGCAGGTTGCAGCAGCGGCGCGAAGAGCCTTTCTTGCGCGTCAGCAGCAACATTGTAAGTGGCCAGTATCTCCTGAAGCTTATTCACTGCAGCGGCAGCCGTCTTTGGAGGAGCAGCTGCTGCCGCTGCTGCAAAGGTGGCTGCTGCTGCAGTGCTATTCAGCAGCAGCTGCTGCTGCTGAATAGCCGGTGTTACGCACTTTGCTTGGTGCCTACTGCAGCAGCAATATATCCGAATCTGCTGCCGCTGCCGGGAGCAGATACTGCTGGGCTGCAGCAGCAGCACTTTTCGCGGCAGCACAGCCTCGAGGCGAGCGCTTCCTATCTACCGCCCTATTCCATGACGCGTTTGCTGCTGCTGCTGCTGCTGCTTCTGCTGCTGCAGTGCGCTCTGGGGAAGCGGGGCCCAGGTGTACGTACAGCTGCTACGTGTTTGTGCCGCATTAAAATTTTATTCGGTTCTCGCATTTGCGTCTGTCACCTTGACAGCCTACTGCAGCTTTGCAGCAGCAGCAGCAGCGACGCGAGGCATCGCTGCTGCTGCTGCTGCTGCTGCAGCAGCCACACGCTGCTGCTGCTACTACTGCTGCTGCTGCTGCAGGCGAGACGCTGCTGACGACACACATTGGCTGCGACACCCGCAGCCGTAGCTCTTGTGTTGCTGCCCCCTCTCTCCTCCTGAGCTGGGGCTGTTAGTGCTATACAATGTAGCAAGCTGCAGCAGCACGTTCGCTGCTGCTGCTGCTGCTGCTGCTGCTGCTTCGGCTGCAGCAAGGTCTCACCCTGAGACTCGCAGTAGGCCCCACCTGGCCTTCTTTGCATAGGCACCTTCGAAAGCAGCAGCAGCGCCGCTGCAGGGGTCAATTGTTGCTGCTGCTGCTGCTGCTGTGCAGATCCACCACGGCGAATGGCAGCAGCAGCAGCAGCGGGAGGAGCTGCTGCTGCTGCTGCTGCTCTTGCTGCGCCTACTCCAACCCATCCAGTACAAATCAGAGACTACACGGACCAGTCGACCTGCTTCTCAACAGCAGCAAACTGCTGCGTCTGCTGCCGGAAGAGGCGCAAATAAAGAATCGGTGCGCGGCCGCCAGTTGCGGTGTATGGACACCTGAAAGTTGCTGTTGCTGCTGCTGCTGCTGCTGCTGCTGCGGGCTCCCGCAGCTCGAACAGCAACGCAAGAGGAACAAACATTGTACACTTGCGAGAATACGACGAGGGACATATTTGAACCAGCGTTTTCAAACCGTAATTGCTGCTGCTGCTGCTGCCACCGCCGCTGCTGCTGCTGCTAGAAAGAAGGGGAAGCTGGGAGAGCTGCGCTGCAGCGGGACGCGGTGTCTGTACACCTGCCGGCAACGGTGCGGCCATTGCTGCTGCAGCGCCGCAGCAGCAAGTTGTGCTGTAGTTCAGTGAATAGCGTGGGACGCAAAGTGCAGTTTGGACTCGGCAGCAGCAGCAGCGGCAGCAGCTGCTGCTGCCGCCGCTCCGCCGGCCTCGGGCGGCGCAGCGGCTTCGTCCGCGCCCACGGGGCTGTCCGCTGCAGCAGCAGCAGCAGCAGCAGCAGCAGCGCCCGCTGCCTGCTGCAGAGCTGCGTTGTTGCTGCAGGGGCTGGAGCTGAGGGGGCTGGTCTCGCTGGCGCCGAGGGAGAGGGAGTTGCAGGGGCTGCTGCTGCTGCTGCTGCTGCTGCGGCCGTTCCTGCTGCTGCTGCTGCCCGTGAGGCCGCAGACCGTGGAAGCCAAGGAGGCCGGCAGCACGGGGGCCCTCACCTGCCTGGCGGGGAGCGCGGGGTTGCTGCTGCTGCTGCTGCGGGAGAGGGAGGCGAGGCCGAGGACGGCAGCGGCGACAGCCCTTTGCTGCTGCTGCTGCTGCTGCTGCTGCAGCTGCTGCTTCTTCTTGCCCCGCAGCCGCTTCAACGGCGCCTCGCCACCCCGGCTCTCCGCCAGCAGCCGGAATGTACTCAGGTGGTGTCTGTACACCTGCTTCGCATACTCTGCAACAATTGCGTCTCCTTCGGGGCCCCGTGGGGCCCCACACTTGTTGCAGCGGAAGCGGCGGGGGAAGTTGACGTTGCTGCAGCTTCTGCAGAGCCAGTTGCCGTTGCGCCCGCGCACCGGGTTTGCTGCTGCTGCTGCTGCTGCGCCCCCCTCCCCGGGGGGCCCCCAGGGGGCCCCCCCCCCCCGCTGCGCCTGCTGCTCCAGGCAGCACATTGGGTCGCCATAAATCTTCAAAAACGATGAGGGGTTTCGAAACTCGTCAGGATGCGCCAACATCGTGGGGGCAGCAAAGTTCGGGCCGCCCACACCTGCAGCAGCAGC